ATTTTTGCTTTGCGCCCTATTCATAGCTTTTAGACGCTGCTTGCATTTGTAGTAGAAAGAAATATTACTCAGCAAAAGCTGATTTTCCTCAACCTTGCTCCTCTGTTTTGGGTGCTGGCTTGCTTGTCGCTGACTGCGTGCTTTGTCTTCAAAACGAGAATCTCATGGGCAGTAGCAAATCGTTTGCCTAACAGGACCAACCTCGTCTTCTTTACCTCTGTGTGCACTGAATCGCCTGTGGCTGAGATAGAAGAGGGTCACTGCACGCATTGTTCTGCCATTTAACTCACGTTATGAGTAGAAACCAATGCTGTTGCACGCGGTTCAACCACCATCCCTGCTTTTCGATAGAAAAACTGTACAACAGCACTGATCTGACGGAGGCAAGGTAGAGACGAATTTTGGTGGAGAAAGGAACTCCTTCCTTAGCTCAATTATATGACAGATTATTAAACGCAATCCGGGCGATGGCGATTGTCGTACTTAACTCTGGCCGGATGGTATAATCGCTGAAGATGATATAAAGCAGCTGCACAAATTGGTCAGTCTCTTGAAACGCATCACCATTCTGTTTCACGTGTAAATAAGCTATGGCAGATGGCTTCCACATGTCTTCTGCATGTCTGTAGCGCACTCCTATGCCGGTTTGTTTCGTTCGTGTGCTCACTTGCAGACGAATCGACATTCACATATGATACCTGATTGGGACATACGCATGTGAGAGAACAGCTGGAGGCTTTCCCTCATTGTAGACTAGATGGCAAGCGAGCAGTTAGCGGATCGAGTAGTATGTTCCAGAAAAGAACCATCAACTTCGGGCGGTGAAGTGCACTGGTAGAAAACCATTGGCAATTATTACAGTATTACCTTGTTGAGCTGGTGAGGCGTGGCGTATCATATCTGCGTATATCGCATACATATTTTAAGACAACTTTTTCTTATTCAACATCAGGGGGACAACCCAATAAAAATCATACGAAACGAGGTTTGGCTCGATGAATGTGGGTGTTATTTCAGTTTAATCGCGGATTCCGGTCTGGCTGCTGTTGCTCATCACTCATTGAAACCTTCGGTGTGCAACAGCCGGTCGTTGGTCCACTATCATGGCCGTTTCCTAGCCTCGTTCGCAACTGCCATCAACAAGTGTTTTTTAAATAGACACCCGTGGCCCATGTGTCGAAACCACCTGCCAGCTGGCTTGGTTACCGTCCAGGCAACACGTCACTATGATTAATAGCGGAAGTGCCGAAAAACTTTAATTTTAATTATCATCGTTTGGCGTCTTTCTCTTGACAGTGTTGGATTCTTGGGGCAGGTTGTTCCAGTGCCG